TTTTCCACATGGCAGCCTGAGTGATCTCAAAATATGTCGAATCATGCTACAATGCATTATAAGGAATTTGAGAACTCCTTATAATGGCTTCTATTATGTAGGATGAAATCCAAAATCCTTCATGTGGTCTCTTAAGGTCCTGAATGATCTGATCTGGCCCCACCTGCCTCTCCAACCTCATCTCTCTTCCTTGTCATTCTTCGGCTGTATACATACCTACCTTCTTGTAGTTCCCAAAAGTTCTCTCCTGCCTTTGATTCGTTGTACATCATTTTCTCTCTCATCCCTATTGCTAGTAAACTTATATTCTTTAGGTGTTGATGAAAATGTTTCTTGCTCAGGGAAACCTTTCTGAACCATCCCCCTCTCCTGGACTAGATTGGGCCCCCTATTGTTTTCTAATAGTCCCTTTTATAGCATGGATCATAATTATTTTTAACTATTTTCTTGTCTCTCTCCTGAGAGAATATAAATATCACCAGGGCAAGGGCTGTGTACCCTATCAAAGCAAGAGTCAAGCACAGTGCCTCAGCACTGAGGGTCAGTAGGCACTCGGATATTAATGAGTGAGTAGATTTATGATCTTAGTTGTTAAGATGTAGCTGAGAGAAAGCAAAACCTGAATCCAGTGGCAGAATATTTGAAATAAAATTTAAAGCTGTCATCCACAATATTTACTTTTTAAAATGGTATTAACCAGACTGAAGGAAGTAATGAAACTGTAGGAAACAAAATAGGAGGGACTAGTTTTTACTTCAGTTGTTCAGTAGACTTTTTCCAGGTAATTCAGTCAAAAGTCCTAAGTAATCTTAGCAGACTGTTATCATAGGCACATTGCAGGTTTGTAACTTCTGAAAAATATTATTTAAGTTCAAAGAATAGCTAGTTTTTGGTGTGAGCATGTTGGATCTGAAAGTTGTGGGTGTTTTAAGTGTTAAACTGATGAAGCATGTATCCTTGAAATATCCTAGATACATTAAAAGTCCTGGAGTTCTTTCTGACTTGGAACAGAAGTCCCTATTTCAAGCCACATATTTTAGACACAAATATGTCTTGACCCTTGACCATGATAGTGCCAACTCAAATGCTTGGCAGGCCTTAGCACCCTTGTATTGACTATTAACAGGGTTGCGAGCTTTCCCATTTTCAGCTAAAGTGACAACTGTTATTTCTTATTTTCAGCATGTTTGACATGTGCATAAGAGGGCAAGTGGGGTGAAGGGGAAATAAGTTTCAAATTGTTCTTAGATTTCAAGATGCAGTGTAGTCACAGACCAGACACAAACTCCTTTATCTACTGTTGAGGTCTAAATCTTAAAGAACTGCTTCTCAAGCAGTGACCTATTTCAAATTGCACATTTGTCTTCTTGATAGATAAAAAGATGTTGTAACATAGCGGTTTGTGTGGCAGAGTTAATTGCCAGTGTTTATTGACTACCTGTATAAGCTATTGTTAGGTGACAACTTACCCCAGAGCTTAGCAGGTTAAAACAACAAATATTTATTATTTCATAATTTCTGTGCATCAGGAATCTGGGAATAGTTTGGCAGAGTGCCTGTGCTTGAGACTCTTACAAAGTTGCAGTCAAGCTGTCATCTGGGGCTGCTATCTCATCTGAAGGCTTGACTGGGAGGAAAATGCACTTCTAAGCTCATTTACATGGTGGTTCATTTCCTTGTACCATGAGCCTCTCTGTAATGTAACTCACAACGTGGCAACCATTCAGCCTCTTAACCCGATTTATGTAACCAAGCATTCCTCCCATCTCTGGAAGCTTTGGGCATATTTTCTTTGTCCTCACTACACTAGACTTTCATCCTTGATGTGGATGAGGATCAAGTGAAATAATGAATGTGAAATGGTGAAATGGAATGGCTAGAGAAACACAGTGCTCAAGCATGAACAGTGACCTTGGAAAGAGCTGGAAACAGAAAGAAAATGTTACATGAAACTGGGAGCAGGAACTTCAGGGAAGTTGTGATGATCCTGTCTTCCCTCGTGTCTTCCCCAAGTTGGAAACATCCAAATGCCTTCCCTAGGAGTTACCAATCTCCAGCAAAAATCTCCCTATTGCCACCTAGCTACTAAAGCCAGGGCACATTAAGCAGCAGTTCACTCACACCCAGCAGGCCCACAAAACAATGTTGTCCTTGAACTATGTGCCTTGAAGTGTGGGTATGAAAGTGCTTTATTAATTTTTAAACAGTATAAAAATTAAGTTGTTGGAATGCTGCTGTTTGGAAACACCAAACTTTCTAATTGTTTGGAAAACACAGGTTGAATAGTACAAAATACAAATCAACACTGTATAATCTATTATAAGAGAATCACTTGCCTAGTATTGACAATACCATATCAGTGTTTTCAACTTCTGTGAAGTATTTGCATTAAGTTCAGTAACAGTTTTCGTTGAGTTTATGGTAATTCCCCTCTCCCTTTCTCATGAATAAGCACATCCTGGAATTTGCTATCTGTGCTCCACCTTGCTCTTGAATTAGAAGGGTTTTTTTTGTTTTGTTTTGTTACTTTTTCTTCCTTTGCCTTCCCTTTCCCTTTTTCCTTACAATCATGTGCACTCAGGACTTATTTTTGGGCACAGGAAGATATTTTTTTTAAAAAACTGAACTCTGATTTCTGATTCTGTATAGTGATTTTCCATATTGATGGTGAGAAGTCAATGTGCTAGTTGCAAACAACTGCCAAATCTTTGGAAATAATAGTACAGTATATCTTGCTACCTAGCAAGGTTCAGGACCTTTAAGAGTCTCTGTGCTTAGGAATACCCCACTTACATACAGGGCAAATACCGTTGCCCTGGCATTTAGAACAGCCTTGCTTCTATCATTGTTATGCTACAGATGGAAGTGGTAAAAATAAAGAACTGGTTTCTTCCCCTCTATAGCTTATGAAATTATTATTATGGATCTGTATTTGGAATAGACATTGATTTCTTTTGTTTCTATTTAAAATATGTTAAACAGATATATTTCATACTGGTAGCTTTGTTTAAACCTACAGTGATTTAAATGGATTCTATTTTAAATGAATTATTTTAGAACTATGTACCACTGAGTTGTTTTTCCAGCTGTTCTTTACTCTTCACAATTTTACCTTGTCTTTTTAGTATATTGCATTTCTAATATCCATAACAGGTTAGGAAATTGCAAAACAAAACAAACAAAAAACAAAAACAAAAAAAAACTTTAAAGAGAATGAAGAAAGAAGATTTTGCGGTATCCAGAAGCAGAAAATAACTTATTCATGAGTGTTGCCAAGATGGAAAGAACCCTTGGGAAGTAATTTGTTAAAACTTAAAGAAGCCCCAAGGAAGGTGGGAGTCGGGGTAGAGATGGAGTCAAGGTTGAAGGGAGATGAGTTAGAGAAGGAAAGTTGCCTAAATACAATTAAGCCTCAGGTATTTATGGAACTCCTAATATTGTGGTGAGTTACAAAATCTATTAAACTCAATCTTGCTTGTCAGGAATTGAGAATCTAATTGGAAGGAGAAAAATTATGCATATGAAACAACAATTAAGTAGTATACTAAGTACAGAAGGGAAGTGGTGAATAAGTAGAGAAGGAAAGTAGTGAATGAAGACTGGAATGATTTTTGAGGAATTGTTAAGATTTAGAAGAATAACAGAAAAAGATATATTCTAAATGACAGCAAAAACATCAAAATGGGTTTAGAAGCCAAAATAAACCATTTTATTTACATACAATTTTACAAAGCTGTAGACAGAAACATATACATGAGCTAGAAAAAAATTAAGGCCAGCAAAAATTGCCACTAAAAAATTAAATATAATGAATAACATATTTAGTTATAAACTTTCATTTAAATTATAAAAAATAAAAATTATAACAAATATAATACATGTTTTTACAAAAGATACGGAAAAGATCTATAATTAGAAATATACCCCAGTAGAAAAATGGGCAAAGTACTTTAGCAGTAAAATTACAGAATAAGAAATATAAATGGCCAGTAAACATATCTTAAGATAATCAGCCTCAGTAAAAATTAAAGAAATGTAAAAAAATGCAAGTTTTATCTTATGAGATTGGCAATGGTTTAGAAAATAAAACTAATGATTAATACCCGCTTCCGTTGGGAAACGGGCACTTCCACACTACTGGTGGGAATTTAAATTCTTATGGTAGTGTGGCAATGCCAAGAGCCTTAAAAAAGAGAACATAACTCTCCAATGTAACAGCTCGATTTCTAGGAGATATCTAAATAAATAATTAGAAAAGACCTTGATAAAGCAGAACCTTTATAAACAGAAACATTGGAAACACCCCCAAAAGATGGTATGGCTATATTATTAAATAACATAGGAATGAGAAAAAGCAAATAATGGGGCATGTTGTAGCACATGATCCTATTACTATTGAGAATAGATACTTGGGAAATATGTGTATATGTTTGTATCTACACAAACATATGGGGATTCAGGAAGGTTATATGTACCACATTGTTAATTATTCTTAACTCTGGATGGCTGGACAACAGGTGACTTTTGTTTTTTCCATTTTGCTTATCAATATGATAAACATATTTTTTAATACATTTTAAAGAAAAACAGCTTGAAAATTAGAATAAGGAGTAGGTACTTACGATGTTCATTAAGAATGTATTTTCTCTATCTGTTTAGATGTTAAGGAAGCTGTAATGATCTTCACTAGGTTCCAGGACCTACAGAAATTTGGCATGGGAAGATTCCCACCCCTCCCACACCTGTCCCACTTGCCTAGAAAGACTAAGTGAGCCTAGGTGTTAATAGACATCTTTTCTTTTAACTTTTAAATAATTGTACATCTGTCTAGTTGTTAACTGTAGAATATGGATGGTTTTATAAGCGTTACAGATTGTTTCTGTTTATCGTTAAAATCTTTGACTTAGAATTTCAGAAGCTTCTGACAGAATCTGCATGTTTTAGATCTACATTCCCTTTATCCTTATATTCATTTTATCTTTTCTTTTGCTCCTCTTTAGGTTCTATCATAATGAATGGATCCAATATGGCAAATACATCACCCAGTGTAAAATCCAAAGAGGACCAGGGGTTAAGTGGGCACGATGAAAAGGAAAACCCATTTGCAGAGTACATGTGGATGGAGAATGAAGAGGATTTCAACAGACAGGTAAAGAAAGAGTGGAAAAGTGGAAGGTTGATGATACATGTAACTCAATAGCTATAATATTTTACTGCCAGTTTGTTACAAAAGAAATGGATACAGTTAGCTTTAGGATAACTTAAAAATTCATTGCGGAGGTCTGGGGGGCCTCATCTGGAATGACCAGGAAACATCTTCATCTGGTAAGAGACCAGAGTGATGGCACCTTGGAGGAAGATATTTGTAGTTTTCTTACCATGTTGATTAAAAGAGAAAACAAATGTCAGACTAATTAGTTGATATCTGAAAATCCTCACGTGAGAGCCCATGTATAACCAAATAGATTTGCATATACTCCACACCATGATATGCCTTCTAAGTGTAGTTCACGTCACACGGTAACTACTGCAGAGGGTCCCTGCCCTCAGCCTTGTTCTGGCTAGATTTGTTTATGACATTTCTCTCAGCAACTGTAGACCATTCTAGAATATTCCCAGAATTTAAATCAGACAAGACTCTTCTCAATCTTAGAGGACTGACATAAAACCCTTGTACCAAACCATGGTAGCTGAGGTCCTTTATCCTGCCCTGATTCTACCTTTAATCCTAGGAAGCATAGTGGTTCTATAACTCTCTATAGTGATCAATGTGAAATTAATTGCTTGAACAGTAGAGCACTAAAAAACAGAATGGTAGTGAGGTTGTTTTTCTATATACTTTGTAGTTCGTTGCTTTCACTTGCTTATAGGAAATGTGATACTCTGCATTTCATTTTGGAAATAAATGAAGACATAAAAGAAGTTTAAGGCCAGGTATGGTGGCTCACGCCTGTAATCCCAGCACTTTGGGAGGCCAAGGCGGGCAGATCACTTGAAGTCAGGAGTTCAAGACCTGCCTGACCAAAATGGTAAAACCTCGTCTCTACCAAAAATACAAAAATTAGCTGGGCATGGTGGCATCCTTCTATAATCCCAGCTACTTGGGAGGCTGAGACACGAGAATTGTTTAAACTAGTAGGTGGAAGTCGCAGTGAGCCAATCACACCACTGCACTCCAGCCTGGGCTACAGAGCAAGACTCTGTCTCAAAAAAAAAAAAAAAAAAAAAGATTAAGAACTCTCACTGAAGGTAAGTATGTTTTCCATGGGACTTTAGAACAGTCGTGTTTGGCATTTTTGTTGACTTAATGGTTTCACTCTGCCTTTATCCAGCCTCTGAATGAAACATATGTTGTTGAAAACATAAAACAGTTTTAACTAGCTTTGTTAACACTCACTGACATGCTCTTAATCCCAGTGATCAGTATTGCACCAGGACTATTAGAAGCCAGATGTCTGAGCTGTGGGTCAGCTGTGCGCTCCTATATTCAGGAGTTTAGCAAACTCAGAGACAGGGTACAAGGAAAAGTGCTGGAAAGCTAGAGGCTTGCAGAGACACACATACACATTCACACACACACAGACACACACACACACACACCCCCCGCACAAAGAGATTGAGGAAAGACAGTTGAGAAGCTTTAAAAATTACAACTTTTTTTTCTGGAGATCTAGGTAAGCAATGACAGATATATGCATGGCAGCTTCCAATATTGCAGTAAATACCAAGCCCTAAGAAGGGCTGAGCAAATAAACAGTTGTTTGCTTAAATTCCCCCAACCCTAATGTTTTACAGGAATACTAGCTTGGCAACATAATTTTGGGTTTTGTCTGTTTGTTTGTTTGTTTGTTTGTGGAGACGGAGTCTCACTCTGTCACCCAGGCTGGAGTGCAGTGGCTCAATCTCTGCTCACTGCAACCTCCACAATCCAGGCTCAAACCATTGTCATGCCTTAGCCTTCTGAGTAGCTGGGACTACAGGCATGTGTCACCATCCCTGGAAAATTTTTGCATTTTTAGTAGAGATGGGGTTTCGCCATGTTGGCCAGGCTGGTCTTAAACTCCTGGCCTCAAGTGATCTGCCTGCCTCAGCCTCCCAAAGTGCTAGGATTACAGGCGTAAGCCACTGCGCCTGGCCTGGCAACATAATTTTGAAACTATTATATGATTTCAGGTCATAGGATTAAGTATTTCAGAGAAGCCTTCTTTATCCTTCATTTGGGAGCAGGAGGGTTTAGGAATCTGGGATATAATTGATGTTAGTTCTTTCTGAACACCTGTACATTACTCTGTTACACTATGGTGTGCTGTACAGTTTTTACCACTGCCAACCCCCATTCCATTACTAGCATAGTTTTCATGGTAATTCAGAAGTGGTTTTGCATACCATGTACCTTGAGTTGGATCTTAAGGAGTAGAAGCTGGTTTCTAGCTAGCAACCCTGATATAATGTCTTCTGACTTTCTAATAAAATATCTAACAAAACATAGAATAAGATGAAAACAACTTACAACCCCCCAAACCAGGAGTGACATTCATTGGTCTTTTTTAAAAGATTTCCACTGACTGTGAGGCTGATGGAAGTGGATTGAAATGTAGTTTTGGTGGGGGGAAAGGATTAAGTCTCAAGAAAAGTAGTGGGACTTTTATTTTAAAGTAACTCGGGAAAGAAGAAGTAAGAACTAACATACTAGTTATAATTGTGAATGGCTTATATACCCCAACACCCACACACATACAGAATTTTTAAAGAAATGGGGTCTTGCTATGTTGCCCAGGCTGGACTTGAACCCCTAGGCACAAGTGGTCCTCTCAGTACAGCCTCTTGATTGGCATGTGTCACAGTGCCTGGCTAGAATTTCTTTTTTTTTTTTTTTTTGAGAGGGAGTCTCACTCTGTCGCCCAGGCTGAAGTGCAGTGGCGCGATCTCAGCTCACTGCAAGCTCCGCCTTCCGGGTTCACGCCATTCTCCTGCCTCAGCCTCCCGAGTAGCTGGGACTACAGGCACCCACCAACACCCAACACGCCTAGCTAATTTTTTTGTATTTTGAGTAGAGACGGGTTTCACCGTGTTAGCCAGGATGGTCTCGATCTCCTGACCTCGTGATCCGCCCGCCTCAGCCTCCCAAAGTGCTAGGATTACAGGTGTGAGCCACCGCACCCAGCCTTCTGGCTAGAATTTCTAAGAGAGAAGATAGGTGGCGGGCGCCTGTAGTCTCAGCTACTTGGGAGGCTGATGCAGGAGAATGGTGTGAACCCAGGAGGCAGAGCTTGCGGTGAGCTGAGCTCACGCCACTGCACTCCAGCCTGGGCGACAGAGTGAGACTCCATCTCAAAAAAAAAAAAAAGATGCAGTTGGATTAAGGGGAAAAAAAGGGAGAAATCTAATTACATGCAACTTGCAAGATACACTCTCACTGGCTATTCAGGCTACAGAAAAAGATGGAAAATGCTTAGTGAATTTTAAAATCTTGTGGGTCATTTCTAACTAGGAGACTTTTTTTTTTTTTTTTTTTTACTCTCAGCTTCTGTCATTTCCCCATGGGGTGTCTACGTCCCTTGTGGGAACATTTTGTGATGAATAGTCACTTGACCATACACAGCATGTAAGGTGACAAATGTGATTTTAACTGAACAGCCTGGTGCTCTGGGAAGAAGGAAACAAGTTTAAAGGGGACAGACAGCAGTTTCCACCTAATGTGGCTCTATCGGGATCTGTGTGAATTGCACATAGCATGTTTCTGTTACACCTCTGTGCCCAGCAACCATTTTCATTGGTTGTGCTGGTGAACAGGGGTAAATTTAATAAGAGCGAGCATGCTGTAAAGCTCTTGTACAGTCAGGGCAGCTCTTAAGTGGTCATGTTACTTCTTGTGGCATGAGAATATTTTATTAAGTACTTCATAACTGTCTAATTTTCATGTGTGGCTAACTGTAATGTTCAAATACTATTCATAAGTCTCACTACCGGTAACTTTTCCTCTGAATTCATTAGGTAACTGTATATTCTAATTTGGGTAATTATTTTTTGCCTGACTTCACTTCTGGTGGTGGTGCTAGTGAGCTGTGAATCTGTCACCAGGCAGCCTGCAGGAAAGGGATGCCAAACGTGAAGCAAGAGGCCTATCAAAGACACCGAAATCGGCAGAGCGAACCGCACTCTTTACTAAGAGTTAACAATGTCTACAAAGAAGTGTAAAATATCCTAGATATATATTGCTTTAGTTTAGGGCAATGTTGAAGAAATGCAGAGTTGTTTAAATATTCCTATATTTCATCATTTGAAAGAATACTACATTGATTATATAATTTTCTAGTGGTATGCCAAAAAGTGTTCTTTATGTCTTCCTAATGTTCTGAAAGTATTTTTCTCCCTTGAGGGTTTCCTTACCCAAAAAATGGCCAAAAGCTGAGAGCATTGGTTTTGATTTTATCTCCGCTAGCCAGGTCATGAACTAGTTATATACTTGCTGTATCTTTTTCATACTTCTTGTAAAATGGGAAATTTAAGAAGGGTTACTTTGTAAGAAGACTGAAAAAAAGAATTTTAGGCTCTAAAATGATTTTCCGTGGTATCTGTGTCACCTATTAGAGATCGTAGAACATCTGCGGAGACCTTGAATTTCTGTTATTGTGAATAACTATTTTCTTAGTCTTATTATTGATAGAATTGGTTGAGAAAAAATAAAAATTATGTTATCTCTAGCTAGTCATTAGACACATTGAATCCTTAGATCCCTTAGACCTCAGGTAAGATCATAAAATCTTTTCTTTTTCTTTTTCTTTTTTTTTTTTTTAAGAATTGAGGTCTCATTCTGTTGCCCAGGATGAAGTGCAGTGGCACAGTCTTGGCTCAATGAAACCTTGACCTCCTGGATTCAAGTGATCCTCCACCCTCAGCCTCCCAGGTAGCTGAGACTACAGGCACACACCACTATGCCTGGCTAATTTTTAAATTTTTTTTGTAGGGACAGGGTCATGCTATGTTGCTCAGGCTGGTCTCAAACTCCTGGCCTCAAGCAGTCCTCCTGCCTCAGCCTCACAAATTGCTGGGATTACAGTTGTGAGCCACCACACCCAGCTCAAGATCATTCTTAACTGCAGAGTAATAACTTCTGAAGGAAAGAGGTGAAGGAAAAACTGGAAGGGGTAAGTCCCTCTGTGACAGTAAGTCTGAGCTACTCCCCTTTGCTTGCTAGGTGGAGGAGGAACTGCAGGAGCAAGACTTCTTGGACCGCTGCTTCCAAGAGATGCTGGATGAAGAAGACCAAGACTGGTTTATTCCATCACGAGACCTGCCTCAGGCCATGGGACAGTTGCAACAGCAGTTAAATGGACTGTCAGTCAGTGAAGGTCATGATTCTGAAGATATTTTGGTAAGAGCCATATGTAGTTCCTCATGTTATGTAGTGAAAAGAATATAGGATTTGGAATGACAGACTTTCTTTCTGGCCCTACAACCCTCAACAAGTCTCTGGAGCCCTGTGAGCTATTGTTTCTTTGCTCGTTTTATGGGCATTATTAATAAGGGGTGCATTGAAGATGCATTCCTCCTCATAAAGCACTATGAAACAGTACTGTTGCCAGCATCACCAGTTTTATTTTCTTTTTGCTTGCCAAGATTGGATGCCACCAACCTTTACTTTCTAATGGGATCTTCAAAGTAGAATTGGGATTAAGGATAACAATTTGAACACTGAAGAAGTTTCTTCTCAAGTTATCATTTGCTGCCATTCTTCTCTTTTACTATCCCTCAAATCTGTATTTAATATACTTCTAAATGATTCTGTTATAAAAATTAACTGTTCATTTTGGAAGAAATGTACTCCTGAGAGGTCATTTTCTCCACTTAGAATTAGAAAAACAGATAAATGAATTTCCTGCCTTTCATATTTATGTAGTGTCAGAAGTCTGTGAGCAGGCTGGGCACAGTGGCTCATGCCTGTAATCCCAGCACTTTGGGAGGCTGAGGCGGGTGGATCACCTGAGGTCTAGAGTTCGAGACCAGCCTGGCCAACATGGCGAAACCCATCTCTACTAAAAAAATACAGAAATTAGCCAGGCATGGTGGCGCATGCCTGTAGTCCCAGCTTGGAAGGCCGAGGCAGGAGAATTGCTTAAACCTGGGAGGCGGAGGTTGCAGTGAGCCGAGATTGCACCACTGCACTCCAGCCTGGACGACAGAGCAAGACTGTCTCAAAAAAAAAAGTCCATGAGCAATATAGTTTTCACACAACTCATATTCTGAACAATCTTTCCCTGTGGTTTGCTAAGGTGTTGCATATTCACAAGAGAGTAGAGAACCAAAGAGAGTACAGAAAGATGAAGAAAAATAGAGATTGTGGTATCCAACCTGGTCTGATCGAGTACCCAGGTTTTCACCAAGTGAAAAATTAATTAATTGTTAACTTTTCTCAATTAATTGTACTCAATTAATTGAAAAATTCTTCTTGGAGTTGAACTTACAGGCCTCTGAGGAGATTTTGGAAAGCATCAGGAAGGAAACAAGAGTCTAAAGAAGGAAGAAGATGCGCTTGCTCAGGGCTATGTCAGGAGCAATTGAGAACAGCCGAGCAATAACAGCCTGAGTTACAAGGAATTTTCTTTCTTTCTCTCCCTAAAGCTAAGGGGAAGGTACTGATAATGATGGACTGGGGAAGTTTTAAAATGCAGCTTGCCTTAGGATTTATTATCTCTTGGTTCTTATTTCAGAGCAAAAGTAACCTGAACCCAGATGCCAAGGAGTTTATTCCAGGAGAGAAGTACTGAGCCGACAAAGCTTTGAGGAGGACTTGTCTGTCCCCACATCTGGGGATAGTAATGCACAAAATAGTGGAGCTGAAGATGGGGATGGGGCGGGCGAGGGACGCACAGCGGGAAGGGGAGTGGTGGTCTCATGATACTGTGACTCTGAGTAACTAATATGCTCAGTCTTATTCTACAAGCCTCTGAGTATTTCTGTTTTGTTCTGCTGATTTTTGTTTGGAGCAGTTTCCTGTTTTGTTTTTTTGAATAGCTCTTTCGAGTTAAGGAAATTGCATTTTCCCCGCTTCATCAGGAGTGTTCTGCGGTGTGTGTTTAAACAAAATAAGCTGACCAAGATAAACTGGATATTTAGGAAATGCCCCTCTCACCCTGCTGTATACTTACCAAGGACAGTGAGCCCCTGGAGAACTTTTTGTGGAATCTATTGAATTGGATGGGAAAAGGGACAAGCAGAAAGAGCAGGTGGTACAAACCAGAATTTGAGGCTCAGCTCCCCCATCGCTGGGGTCTCCTGCAGTGAACTGGGATAACCAATGCCCTGCCGAGCCCTTGCCTGTTTGTCCTGAACCCCATTCAAGAAAACGCAGACTTAGAGTACTTAGTTTACAGTAACTTTGATGATTGTTGAAAGTTGTAAATCAGAAGGTGGGGCTGTGATGGTGGTTGTCACTTGAGTCATTTAGTTACTGTTGTCCTGTTCATAAGCCTGTGTTCACCATCACCATCAGACTCACCATTTATAAGTAGAAGAGCACTGTTGTTGATCTGCCACCTCATCTTTCATGAAGTCTATTCCCCGGCCTCCTTTCCACCCTATCCTACTCTGTTTTTAAGAAAAGATATTGCTGCCAAAGGCATAGGGGAGGCCTGGTGTGCTGACAATTAGCATGAGCCTGCAGAAGTCATCCTTGAATCTGCTGTGTCTAAATTTTATTTGGACAGCCTTTTTTTTTCCAGCCTCAACACTTGGTCTTCCTGGTGTCTCAATTCCCTCAGACAAGTTTGTGCACGTTTTAAAGGATATATTTTTCAGGACACTAGTAAGAAGCTCAGTTCACAGTTTGGATATTTCTTCCCACATTATAGAATTTTGGAAAGGAACTCAAAACTAGCCTAGGAAAGTGAGTCCTGCTTGACCCATGTGACTGTGTACCTGACCCTCTGGGATCTTTTCAGCTATTAAAACATTTTACTGTTCCCACATACCCAGCTTTGCAGGTTTCCTAGATTGACCTCTTAGGATATGTTTCTTTGTCTTTCCTGCCTTTAACTTGTTGGGGTCTTTTGTTGCTACCCGTAAAGAACTAAACTGGGTGCTAGGAGCTGCCTTTGTATATAGAGATGTAGATGGCAGTGTGATGTTTAAGAGACCATCCAGGCCATTCTCCCAGGGATGAGGACTTGAAGAGCCCTAAAGATAATAGTGGCTTCTCTCTGATTGCTACTATGCTGTGTGATAGGCCTAATAGGGAAAAGATACGTAACTTGAAATAAAGTTGGCATAAATTCAGTATGTGGATGTGGGACAGAGGTTGGAAGGAAAGGACTAGGGTATGGAAAGCTGAAGAAATTCTCCTTTTGAGCTCTCGTTGACTCTTTGAACAGTGACAAGCTAATGCCAGATTTAAAATACACATTTTTTCCTATTTAAGTCTGTAGGATTATATCACTTGAAAAGTTGCATTCCTTGTTAGGTCACATGTCATAGGAGAGTAGCTTAGAGAACTTGCATTACCAGACAGACACATTAATTCCCAAAGCCTCTGTGTTGAGAAAATGAAACTGTTAACTCTTTTTCAGGGAGGAATATGAATAAAGAAACTTCTTTATTCAAGCTTCAGCTTTCAGCTGGGTTGTTCCCTCTAAAAAGGAAAGGACATTGCAAGTGCATAGAGGAAATCTCTCCCTTCTGGGACTGCTTTTCCTCCTTCATCCTCCATGAGCCTGTCCAAGCTCAGAATTCTGAAGGTGGTTAGAAATGTGTTGGGATTGCAGAGAGAAAGGAGCTCGTCTTTCCTTCTGCTGTGCTGGTCTGTTTTGGATGTCAGTCTTCAGCCTGGTTTCACAAGGCATATTTGGTCAGGACTATGAAAACTTCCTGCCAGTTTAGCATGGACACTGAGGGCTGGCATTTCTAGTCCTCTGCAGACACTGAATGTGCTGACTCCAGGTATAGGAAGCAGCTAGCAAAGTGATTCTTTTTAAAATGCATAGGACTCTGCTTCCAGTGGTTCCTCTTGTAGTCCAACTCTTTTTTGCCATCTATTTTATGTTGGGAGGTGGGGGCACAATTGTCACTCACGACATAGGCTCTGCTAGTTAGAGTTTGCTACCTTCTTAGCAGAAAATGCATCTTGTTGGACCTTCACTGGGGAAAGGCTGGGAGCCTCTGGCTGTCTTTGACTTTTCTCACAGGAGTAGAACCAGCAAGCCAGGCTGGAACCCTTTACCCTTGAATGGTGACGCTTGTATTTGTAAGGGGTGATGTTGAATTTAAGCCACTACTCTGTTTAAACTTTTTTTTTTAATTGGCAACTAGAAGTTTGAGAATTTGTATAGAAATAGAACATGTAGGCTGGGCTTAGTGGCTCACACCTGCAATCCCAGCACTTTGGGAGGCCGAGGCAGGTGGATCATGAGGTCAGGAGTTCAAGACCAACCTGGCCAACATGGTGAAACCCCATCTCTACTAAAAATACAAAAATTACCCAGGTGCGGTGGCAGGCACCTATAATCCCAGCTACTCAGGAGGCTGAGGCAGGAGAATTGCTTGAACCCAGTGGGTGGAGGTTGCAGTGAGCTAATATTGCGCCACTGCACTCTAGCCTGGGTGACAGAGCAAGACTCCATCTCAAAAAAAAAAAAAGAAGTAGAACATGTATTTTTAACAGTTGCCAATCTGGCTGGTCCCAGTGTTAGTTTATTAGTGATTGATCTGTAATTATTGGGATTATTTATTCAACTCTAAAATTCCAAGATGAAAATAATTTATCTCTCTATTTTCAAGGAAAAAAAAGCGAAATGAATGCCTTTTCAGTTTCTCCACCTTTGAACTGCAGCAGAAAATTCAAGGATACAGCCTAGGCCTGGGCAAATGCAGCCCTGGGTCTTTGGGCCAGTTTCTGGCAATAATAGTTGACTTTTGGGAATCACATAAGGGTGAAACCAGAAACCATCCTAAGGAAAAGGCTTGACCTTTGTAGCACCTTTAGTTTCCAAAATCACAGCAGCTGGGGTCCCTTTTTTTTTTTTTTTTTTTTTTTTTTTAAAGCATAGTCTCACTCTGTCACCCAGGCTGGAGTGCAGTGATATGACCATAGCTCACTGCAGCCTCAAATTCCTGGGCTCAAGCAATCCTCATATCTCAGCCTCCTGAGTAGCTGGGACAATAGGCACGCACCATCACGGCCAGCTAATTATTTTTATTATTTTTATTTTTTGTAGAGACTGGATCTTGCTCTATTTCCCAAGCTGTTCTTAAATTTTTGTGCTCAAGTGATTATCCCACCTCAGCCTCCCAAAGTGCTGGGGATTATAGGCTGGGCGTGGTGAGCCACCCGAGCCTGCACTCTCTTTAATTAAGGTTATAAAGCTAACCATGGCTTAAAATACTAAGCAGCATTTTCCAAATTGTTGATTACTATTACATTGGTTTTGGAGAAGCTGGGAAGTAAGGCAGTGAGGTGAATACTCTGATAGTTAACACGTGTTAGAGAGGAAAGTTGTGTGAAGAGGCCGCCAAAGTAAACAGCATGAATGAATCTTGTATTAGGGCGGCTGCAAACCCCAGGTAGAAAAATGACAGCCCAGGCTCCTGAACCATCGGGAACCCAGGAGTCTGCCCTACTGTGAGGAGGGGGCAGGCCTTCTTCAATAAGGGTCCCACCATCACGGGCTAATAATCTTTCACAGTTTAGGTGATATTGAGGTATTGGGACTGTTAGAAATCTGACAGATTTGACCAAGATTTGGAGATGTGCACATATTGGGAAGGACTGGGTGTCCCTAGCCGCTCTCCTCTGGGATAACGCGGGCGTCATTAGTTTGGGAAGCGGTGGGGAGAAGAGGAGGATTGACTCCGATTTGGAGTGTAGTGGGGGCCTTGATGTCCTTCTGCCTCTGCCCACATTTCCCCGTGTGACTCACTGCAGCCCGCATTGCTCACAGGGATCATTAGTTCTCCGGGTAGGCAGAGCACCTTCTGCAGACGCTGCTCTGCTGCCTTGTGAATTTCCTCCACAGACTTAGTTGGTTATAATTTGAAAACAGTTTTTTGTTTTTTGGTTTTTGTGGTTTTTTTCCTTTGTTTTAATCTTCTCATACTGAAACTGCTATTCATGACAGGGAAAGGGGAGCAGGAAGCCAACCCAGGGAAACATGAGAGTTTCCTGCATACCACTTGGCCACCTGCCCTCACTGGCCAAACCCCTACTGCTGTTCCCAGTCAGTCTGGTTTTTAGAGGCATCATGGGAATAGAACAGCTGGATACACTATTCTCGACAGGGTGTCAGGCAGGAGTCCCAGGGGACAGGAGAGAAATCTGTAAAGGGACAGATGCACCATCTTTATTTTAAAGGAAAAAGCTCCCTCAGATTTTGTTACTAGAAGTCTCCTTTGTGACATTTGCTGAGCTTTCTCCCCAGTCCTACCTTCCTATTGGCTACCTTTTATATAAAAATAATAAACATTTTAGACTAATATGACAAAAATGAGATAAAATCTTTAAAATATTTTACTAGTTTACAGTTACTAAAATGTGCTTACTATAAAATAGTAAAATATTTTACTCTGTAAATCATCACTAAGTAATTCTGTCCTGTTGATTGTGAGCCTTCAAAAATGTTTAATACTTGAAGGATGGTTTGGGAGGCAGGGAGTCCTTTTCTTAAAAACAAAACAACTTTAATGAGGCATATGTTACATATCATAAAACACCCATTTCAAGTGTACAATTCAGTGATTTTAGTAACTTCCCTCAGTGGTGTAGCTATAACTATTACTCAGTTTTAGAACATTTTTATCCCTTCTGATAAGATCCTTCATGCTGTTTTACAGTTAATCCTGTTCTTACCCCCAGCAACCACCAATCTACTTTCTCTATAAATTTGCCTTTTCTAGACAGTTCGAATCAATGGAATCATACAATATGCGGTCTCTTGGGTCTGGCTTTTTTACTTAGCTAATGTTTTTGAGGTTCGTCCATGACATACAACATGTTTTGGTAGTTTGTTCCTTTTATTGCTGAGTAGAATTCCATTGATGGATGTACCACATTTTGTCAGCAGAGAGCCTTTTAAACTTGGATTCCAGCTTCCTGTGGTCTAAATGGAACCCTCCGAACAGGACTTATAGGGGAAGCTGCTGTGCCTGTCAAAGAAAACCTACTAATCAGAACGAGCTTTGTCATCCGGCGTCAGAACTGCTGCAGAAATTTTTACAATTTTGCAACTTCTTTTTTTACAAGGAACTTTTGTGCTACTACACATCAGGACTTTTGAAGCATCCGATAAATCCATGTAATAAATACGAGCGTGTGTCTGAGTGGACAAGAAAGTGAAACCATCCATGCTACATTGGATAATTTTTCCTCCCCCAGACTGGACAGGGAATCTCAGCTTTCGAAATAGAGTATCCTGTCTCCATTTACAAAGCTGCACAGGTATTAAAGATCGTGCTGCCTTTGTTAGGCAGATTTGGAGGGGAGGCCCAACAGCAAAGATGGAGAGGAAAAGGGAGTGGAACTTGTGGAACAGGAAGCCCCCCAGGGTCTGTGTAGGGCTGCTCAGCTCTTGAGGATATTGTAGATGGTGAGGTAGTGATGGTGTCCCGGGGCAGCCCAGCACCTCCACTGGGCCCAGAAGGTCTTGACTTTGGACACTTACCCTTGTTTCACAAGTGTTTAAAAGCTGTTTTTGCTTTTGTTTTTTTTTTCCTAATCATTACTTGGTAGTTACTAATCCTTCTTTGGGGGAGGGACAGGGCTTTAAAACGGAAGAAAATAATTTTCATAAAAATATCAAAAATGGAAAAACTTTACTTTGTAAAAACTTTGCTATACAAACCAAATGGCAGCTGTTGAGAATCTCAATAAAATGTTAAATGCATTTGCTGGCAGTGGTACCCTTTTGCCTAAAGTTGGGTCACTGTGTCATACCGTGTGTGTTTGGGGGCAGTGGGGAAGTGTGAAATTTTTTGTCTCACACGTAAGTTGTCTCATGGGTCATAATCTTAGTTGCAGTTTTCCTTTCAAATAGGGTTACAAAGCAGAAACCATGGGCCTGGAAGTGACAGACCCGAGTGAATCCCACCTTCACTACTTTGTGCCATTGGCCTGAACTTTATTTACAAATAACCTCTTTATTTGTAAATAACCTCTCCCCTGGAACTATAATGACAGAATTTTAAAATACTGCCTGACACATAGTAGGCACTTAATACATGGTTGCCCATGGTCACAATGATATGTGCAACTTTGAACAGAGAGTCAGTGACATCTTTGGGCTAGAAGGGAAACTAGACATTTGTTTTCCTGTTTCTGGGCAAAACTGACTACCTCCCTAGAAAACAAGTATTCCCTATCTGCCTTTCAACTATTGAACAAGTTTGAGAGCCTGCTACATGTCAAGCATTGTCTTAGGGACGGGGCTACGGGGGTTACCATATTATGGTTTGGCAATGCCTAATTATTTAAACTGAAACCTCATTCAAATCTCCCAGTGATTTCTTGAGGGGCTTTATCATATTGTTAAAAAACGATAAGGGACCAGCCCAAGGCCCATGAGTTTTGCCCTGAGCCTCATTTCTTAGCCTCATTCCTAAAAACAGAGGGTGGGGGTTGGGGTATTCTGAGCTGACTTGCCTATTTACAGCTTTTTAAAATAGTATAGTTATATGTAGTTTTGTGTATATAGGGTTTACTAGAATGTAACGTCCTTGAAGAGGTGGATGGTATATTCATTTTAAAAATTCCATTAAAAAAAGATAAAATTTCATTAACTTAGTTGAAGTATAATGTACAGAAAGGTACAGATATTTTATGTGCAGTTCTATGAATTTTTACTGCTGGAAAAAAGGTGTACTTATTTTTAATCCCTAGAGTACTCATCACACCTACAAGACATTCAATAAATGTTTGCCGAATGAATGGGACAGATGAAGCTGTACTATCTCTGAGATCACACAGGGAGATAAGGAAGCGCTAGCCTTATTCCAGTGCTTGTTCCAAGCTCTCTTGTCTCATCACAGGGCTGTTACAGGCTCAGATGAGAGAAATGTATACATCTCTAATGCGTTGGTAATACAAAATCCCATGGATAGCTCCTGATGGTTTGTTGGGGAAAGGACACTAAGTTTAAAATTAAAGGGGGAGAAACTCAGCAAAAATCACTTATGGGCTGGGCATGGTGGCTCACCCCTATAATCCCAGCATTTTGGAATCCCAAGACAGCAGGACTGCTTGAAGCCAGGAGTTTGAGACCAGCCTGGGCAACATAGCAAGACCTGCCTCTACAAAAAAATGACAGAATTAGCCAGGCGTAGTGGTACATGCCTGTAGTCCCAGCTACTTGGAAGGCTGAGGTGGGAGGAACGCTTGAGCTCAGGAATTCAACGCTGCAGTGAGCTATGATCATGCCACTGCACTATAGCATAGGCAAAAGTGAGACCCTACCTGTAAAATAATTTTTTTTTTTTTTTTTTTGAGATGGAGTCTCGCTCTGTTGCCCAGGCTGGAGTGCAGTGGCGCAGTCTTGGCTCGCTGCAAACTCCACCTCCTGGGTTCAAGCGATTCTCCTGCCTCAGCCACCTGAGTAACAGGCAACTGCCACCATGCTTGGCTAATTTTTTGTGTTTTTAGTAGAGATGGGGTTTCACCATGTTGGCCAGGGTGGTCTCAAACTCCTGACCTCATAATCCACCCGCCTCAGCTTCTCAACGCACTGGGATTACAAGCATGAGCCACCGCACCAGGCCTGTAAAATAAATTTTTAAAAATCACTTGTGATTTTCTGCACTGCAGCCTGTCTAATAGAGCCTTAATAACTGGGGAGTAAGTGACTTCATCACATCTCCTAAATGTGACAGGAACTAGGAACACATCTGACCTTATGCACGTTAATACTGCCTCTTTTTAAGCATTTTTTCAACACTTATATTCTGGGACTAAAAAAATCAAGATGTGCTCCTCTACTAAAATCTCCACCATCCAGTTGGAATTGCACTCTAGAAAATCTAAGGAAAAGTGATGGCCATATTCTGAAGAACAACTAGGTCTCAGCAGTTACATACTCTTCACCAAAATACTGTTTGATCCTCATCCTGAGAGCATATTTTTAAAAATCTCCAAAGCTCACCACTCATTAATAACCCAACAGTTTTACCAAGACTGTGGGTTACAGCAAAGATGCCTCTGCTGTGTCCTTGCTCTCTGCAAGCTTTTTACCAGGTGCTGTGCTGGAGACTTGCTGGGTGCTAGACCACAGGGATCTGGTCATAGCTGAATGTGAAGATGGCTGGCTGTTCTTTCAGAAGGAACCTGGCTGGAGTTCCTATTGCTCAAAGCTCCAGCTTGCAGCATTGGGCTAGAGCTGATGGAAGGAGAGCTGTTACCATTCTGTTCCACATGAATGCTACATTGTGAAAGAAAGATCTGACTTGGGCAACAAGGTAGTGTTCAAGGCGTCTCAGAGGGCCTAACCAGAACTCACCAGCTGTAGCGTAGAACTCCCTCAAGTGCAGATGCTGGACCTCTGCAGCAGAAATTTCTCAAGCTGTTTAGTATAACAGAAATGAAAATTCCCCATCCCATCCTTAACCTATTATCATCAGATAGCTCAGGGCAGGGGAAGGGAGTAGACAGAAACCCGATTTTAAAACCAACTCTAGAATAACTGATGTCTGCAAGTTGGAGAACTGATGTGCAGGACATGATCCACATGCCTCCTCATAAAACACCCGGAGAGGCAGCTATTGTGGATCAAGACTCCTGTCCTTAGTCTTCACCAAGCAGCACAGGCAGTGGAACAGAAGCTTCAGGTTTGTCTTCACTGGTCGAACTGTGATATCCAGAGGACAGGAATCATGTCTGCTCTTCACTGATGCTCCTCATTCCCAGGGCCACACGACACAGAAAGTGTCGGCTGTAAGCAGAGCCAGGCTAGTAGCAGCCAGGAATAGGTCGGCCACCTAGGTAAATGATGCCTAGTTGGTCTTCTTGGAGATCTCAGCCATCCTCATAACCTTTCAAGAACTCATTCATGTGAAAAACTGCAGAATGTCCTGCTTACCTGCAATTACTAAATCCAGTGAGGTTCCGATGCTCCCAGTCTAGAATTGTACCTTCCCCCTAAATCCTGCTGGGAGTCTCAGGAGAGGGTGTGATATGCCTAAGGTACTCTCTGTGATGTTGTGCATGGCGAACACTTGTTTCTGGTGACTGTGGTCACACAGGAATCGTTACCCACTTGACACGACAGGAGAAAACAGGTCACAGATTAACTGGCAGCCACATAGTGCATATGTGTGGTAATGTGGGGGGAAGGGTAGCACGCAGATAAATTATCTGCCCAAGTGCATGCTGAGTGGATGCAGATCACCGGCCAAGCACCTGGGGGCAGGGCTTTAAACCTTGGACTAAATCCACTCCTTAGGCTCCGGGATATCTGCTGGCAGGTGCACTGAGGTTGTACACAGCACGTGTGTTTGATGATGCAGTCCAATTGGGAAGTGGATAAAGTGTGTTTATTTTCTTCTGTGTATGTTTTTGTAAACAGGGAAAAGGAAGCAAAAGACTCCTTCCTTCCGGACCTGGTGTCCACTGAGCTTGGAGTGGGTGGAGCCCCCTAGGAGAAGTTGTAGGAATAGAAGGCAATGGGATTGACTATCACGGATAGTAGTCCATGACGAGGTGGAGCCCGATGCACCTGGCCCCTAGGCTGGCCCCACCCAGAGCAGAGGAGTGCCTCAGCTTCATCAGGGTGAAGCTGCAGAAGAAGTTCTGAACCTGGATCTCTTTGCCCTGGTTCAGCACCAAAGAAAACCTGGAAGGCTTTCCCCTTCCACCGTGACTGTAAGTTTCCTGAGGCCTCCCCAGCCATGCTTCCCATATAGCCTGCAGAACCACGAGCCAATTAAACCTCTTTCCTTTATAAATTAGCCAGTTTCAGGTGTTTCTTTACAGTAGTGCGAGAACAGACTAATACAGGTACTCAATAACTTGAGTAAATAAAGGGCTGAATAAATGAACGAAGTGAAACAGATAAACACTGGGCGATCAGAGGAGATGACTTACTCCTGGAGGCCATCATCAGGGGTGGCCTTTATGAGGAGTCTTTGAAGGATAGGGAGGATCTGGACAGGCAGAGGAGAGGGACCTAAAGACCTCGAAAATGGGATCATAAAGGCATTAAGGACAATGAAGATGCCAGTCTGATCAGAGCAGAGAGTTCCACAGAGAGGCAGGAAATGGTCATATTTACAAATCAGAGAGAAAGATATGGTACTGCTGGTCCTAAAGGGAGGGGGATGGACTTGACATTTTGAAATGATTCAAAACCAAATGGTCAGTGCCAAGTTTTTACAATGCAAGGTCCAAGGCTTGCCCCTCAAAGGTAAAGCCTTGGGTTGAAAAGTGATGGTGCTGAGCCAGTGTAATTAATAGAACAGCATCTAAGAGAGGTGTGTTCTCACTTGTGCATGGTGGAGAAGGAAGGACTCTTAAAAATGATCTGGTCTGTCCGGACGCAGTGGCTCAAGCCTGTAATCCCAGCACTTTTGGAGGCCGAGATGGGCGGATCACGAGGTCACGAGATCGAGACCATCCTGGCTAACACGGTGAAACCCCCATCTCTACCAAAAAATACAAAAAACTAGCCGGGCGAGGTGGTGGGTGCCTGTAGTCCCAGCTACTCTGGAGGCTGAGGCAGGAGAATGGCATAAACCTGGGAGGCGGAGCTTGCAGTGAGCTGAGATCCGGCCACTACACTCCAGCCTGGGTGACAGAGCGAGACTCCGTCTCAAAAAAAAAAAAAAAAAAAAAAAAAAAAGATCTGGTCTAACTCGCTTATTTGGCAGAAAGAGAAAAGGAGACCAAGAGAAGGGAAGACCA